ACAGATAGACAGACAGACAGAGGCAGAGGTGGCAATTTCTCTTTTCAAAGTGGTTGATTCTACAACAGGTCAAGAACCGCTACCCTTCACACTGTACAGTATTCCTTCAAATCCCGTTACACAAGGCCAAATATTTCTAAGAAATGAAGTTCCAAATAACATCGTTGCCAATACTTGCAAATATATTTCTGAGCAATAAGTGAAACTCACCTAAAATATGACCAAAAATATGATTTTATATCGCTTCGGGCCCAAATATGACCTAAAGCTAAAATATGGTTCAAATATGCATTTATATGACCAACAAAAACCATATTTTCATGTTCACAAGAGTCAGAAATGCGTTTATATTTAATTATACATGTGAAAAGATGCCAGGATAAAAATATGACATGTCATAGAAATCCAAGCCCTAGTCATCAGTGAGATTATCTTCAATCCAGAGAGGGGTGTTATATTCATCCATTATGGTTTATATAATATTCCTCAAAATATACAAAGGTTGAGTGATAATGTGGAGATTTTTAAACACACACTGAAAAGTTTCCTCACAACAAATGCTTTTTATTCAGTAGATGAATATATTTCTGCTAAGCATGTATAACATTTAATGACTATATTCCTTGTAATTTTGTTTATGAATGACAATGTAAATTATGGTTATTTGCTGCTTTTGGTTGTGTGTGGTTGTTTGCTGTTGACACGATTGTATTTCTGCAATCAAGTCTTATTTTGACGAGTTCAAGATCTGGTCCGATTCGAACAATGGATCAGTGAATTTATGAATTATGTATGTGTGTATGTAGTGATGGACGAGAATGGTGACCTACTTGCAGATTCTCACAATATTTTGAATATGTGGAAGAACTACTTCTCTCAAACCTCTGTGACCTTGAAGATATATGCTTACAAATATACTGATAGTTGCCATGACTCCTTTTCTTTTCTTATGGGGATAAAAATAGACTTCAGTTCAAATCCCTGCTCATAATAGAAAATTAACAATTTTCCTGAGTATTTTTCTTTTCAAATGCAAGCAACATCTTTGCTTACATCTTTTCACTATTAGTATTATTTTCTGAGATATGGAGCAAGATGGACAGAGTGCAAGTGAATGAAATGGAAAATGATACTCATATATCTCTGGTTGGTAATTTTTATTTGTTTTAGCAGGATTATGCTGTTAACTTTGTCTGTTATTTCACCTGTCTTCCTCTGTGACATCCAACTCAGCAACACGGATGGGTTGAATCCTAGCATGTCTTTTAGTAGCATATGAAATACATAGTAAACATATGAAACCAGATAACATGAAGTTTATCAAAGATAATTCATAGTTGTGTGACTTTGTCAAACAAAGAATAACAAAATTATATTGCACAGTTCAGTTCTTTAACAATAATGAACTTTCCCCATTTTTCCATTTATTATTATGTGGCCCTTGTAGAGTGTGTTCACTCTGAATTAATATGTTATGGACACTGTTTCAATAGAGACTAAAATCTGGAGAAAAATTACTTTCTATCCATATGTCATTTGTCTTTTTTTCTTCTGTTCTTCCTTTTTCTTATTTTTTCTCCTTATTTTCTGCCTCCCATTATCGTCTATTCTTTTTTCTGCTTTTCTATCTTCTTTTCTTCCATTCAGTATGCATTATGCATCAATTATTATTATGGAGCTTTATATAAGCGTTCATATTTACATTACGCATGTCATGCCTCCAACAGGTATGTGTATTCATAAAGGTCAGTTTTGGGATAGGGATCATGGGAACATTTTCTCCAGTGAAAGCACTGTGCTACTCCTGGAACTCTCAGTTTAGCTTGCATATTTTGAAGACACACAAGCACTTCTGCAAGTCCACACTTTATCGATACAGATAATTGGAGCTTACAGAAATACTGTTATACAGCTGGATCAGGTGTGGTGCTCGCCCTCTTTTTGGTTGCTTTCATAAATTTACTTTCATACATAATTACATGGCTATAAAGCTAGTCAAATATGACTATAGAGTGTAGATTTAGTGATAAAATCACCAAACATATATGTACAGTACAGCAAGTTTTCACATAAAAATGGAAAATGTAGAAAATAAATTACACAGATGGTTCATATAAGGTATCCAGATTCTTCAGCTAGATTCACTCATGTGCATCTATATTTTCCATTTATGCTGTTTATACAAATCGTTGTATAGATTATAGGTCATTTTTAGACATGAATTAATCAGCAGTGTAGAATTGGTGTGTATTTAAGCATCTTATTAGTGCTACTTTAAATCTTGCCTTTTCATTCATACAGAGTTTGATACTAGATGGTAGATGGCTGAAAATTTTGATGTGAGGATAGCACTTTTCTGAAAGCCAGAGAGGTTGCCAATTTCCATATGCAGATGGTGCTTGATACTTGTGTTAATACTGTGTACAGCTAAATTAATCTGAAAATTTTCTTGGTTATGCAAATGAATGGATTTTCAGATAGCATATTTGATGGTAATAATAAATGCTGCTATGAATCTCACCATATATTAAAGTTTTATTAGACTGCTTCCAGAATTCATAAAAAAATCATTTAATATGCCACCAGATTTCAAGGTTTCATATAACAGAAGGCAGAAAACGTCATAAACGCACCTGCATGAGAACATGAAATTCANGGCCGAGATACAGGGCGCCCATATTATAAGGTAAGGTTATAAAACCACCATTTAAGATCATTTTAGTGAAAGTTTCATGTTCCTATCTCATAGAATTTAAGAACAATGATGAATAAATAATTTTCGAGCAAAATTTAAATGGCCGGCTGAATATATTACCGCAGGAGCCGCGGCCGCGGAATTTAAATGACCACGTCAAAGGGTTAAAGTAATGGTGTTGATCATGTCTGTGAAGATGCTCTTAATAACTTAAATGGACAGGTTCAGACTTAGTGAAGTGTATATTTTGTAGATGTTGAAGATGAACAAAGACATTTTGCAGTGAAGTTTGAAGACTTGTCTGACATTCATATATTCCTCGTAATTTCATAGTACTGTTGAGGTGTATGATGGCATTAGGTCCAGATGTATACCACAGTTTATTGTATTATTTTGCTTCTGAACAAGATCAAAATTAGCTGAAAACACCTATGTATAGAATTTATTTAGATATTTTTAATTGAGATTTCAGTTTAGGCAGTGTTATATATTTTAGTAATCCATATGAAGAGTCCTTTTTGGCAGATTAGAGCTCTCAGACATGAATTTATTGAACTATTCTGTATGACAATCTTATAGATAACTTTGGAATCTGTGTACACTGTTGCACATTCTATGATAATGTCTGGGTACACTTCGCATATATTCACATCAACACAAAATCAACATTCATGATAGAGAAATAACACTTTAAAACAAAATATTGTTTTCTCATTCATGACCTACTGTATGCTATTATACAGTGGATTGCAACAGGTTTGTACCTGTTATTACTTGTCAGTGTTTTACCTTAAGGTAGTGTAATTTTGCAGGGTTTATGAACCTGATCACAGAGTGTTTTCCTTTCATGTCTATGGGGTGATGATGCTTTTAAAACTTGTCAAACATCTATGTGGGTGCTTCCGTTCACTCCCAATTTCTATCAGTGGAAAATGCTTAAAGACTCATTATAATTTGATTTGTTTCATTTTGGTCCGTCACACTAACAGTTACAATTATAAAAGACAAGTCCGTCCAATGTGACTATTTCAGTTCATCAAGTGAGAAAACTGAAATAGTCACAATGGATGGACTTGTCTTTTATAATTGTACTCATTATAATGTCAAACATATTTTACCCTGAAAAGCCATCTTTAGTACTTATTTCTATGTGAATGATTTTAGGTTCTCACAGCAGGGATTATGAGGGCAACTAGCTTCTGTGATAAGATGGTGTGTAGCCTGGTAGCAGTTCACTTGCAGTTTATTCACTGGGCTTACTCTTTCTCTCTGAATTTGGAAATACATAGTACATTCCTCCAAATTGTCATTACCGTCTACCAAGCTGCAGGGTATCAGCAGTGTCATAAATCAGTTGAAATATGCACTGAAGATAGCAGTCCAATTGTGGAAACACCTGTAATACACAAGTGTTAATTGAATGAATAAGGCAGAATTTAGTTTCATCTGGCATTCTCTTCTCAGGAATCCTCATAACAGTCCATAAATCACTGCTAATTTTAAAACTGGGCTACCAGGAATTTTGAAGTTGAGCTGTATATACTTATGGCTCGGTTGGACGAAGGGGCATCATCTCCCCCCACCCTCCAGCTATTCTAGAATGTATGTAGAGATTTGCTTTTGTATGCGGACCGAGGACTAGAGGTTTTTTTTTTTTGTGTTTGCTCAGCAGTTGGTGGAGGTAGGAAATTCTGTCCAGGCTGCACATCCGAAATTCTGTTTGGAATCTTAACTTTGGTCGTGACGGGATGTGATGAGAGTATTTTTGTGAGTTCTCTTTTTTTTTTCGAGAGAGAGATTTATGATTTTTTTTTTTAGTTTCCTTATAGGCCCCTGATTGGTAACAACGTTATGTAGATATTATTTTTTTTATTTATATCGTGAGTTGGGTGGAGATTTAATGTTATTTGTGTACCTTTGTTGTATTTTCTGTTCATGATTTTTTCTCTGTGTTCTACAAATGGTCAAGAGCAAGGCCATGTAAGAATATTGAATCTCTTAATGCACATGTTTAGTTTTCATTATTATTATTGTTATTTATATTGTTATTATTAAATACTTAGTGTTTGGGTTCTGCCTTTCTCTGAATACTGCTAACTTGGACACCCCAATCCATCTGGGGAGTATTTGGAACACAACACGAAAGATAGATATGAATGCTGCATCCTCCCTTTGTATTTGGTAGCAGTGAGGGAATAAAGGGGTAGGAGCTGCTCATAACTTTTAAATATTTTTGTGTGAACAGATCACATATTCAAGTTCAAGCTATGTATATCTGCATAATGTAAACATATTTTGATTGCAGTGAAACATACCATTGCTGTCAGCCATGTCTACCTTACATAATGCAAGTTTGCAGTCTCAAAAATGTACACTGAAGGAAGAGATTGTCATTTCAGGAATAGCAGGCTCCTTTCCTGATTCAGAGAATGTGTATCAGTTACAAGACAGTCTGTTTAACAAAGTGAACATGGTGACACAAGGCAAGGAGCGCTGGAAATGTGGTCAGTATTTCTCATGACAGAATATTCATCATTCTTATGTTATTTAATGCTCAATAGGTGTGATTATACAAGGTCCGTATAAAAAGTATCGGGAAAAATCTTTCCCTTACATGACTGTACACCGCAGCATGCTCGCACCGCGCAGGCGTGGTAGTGGGGGTTTAACCTTTAACACGCGCCAAGCGCCATTCGCCTGAGGGCATTTGTAGAGGCCAGGCCGTGTTTTCAGTGGACCCCTGTCGAGTGAGTCGGTGCAAGCGCAGAATGCAGCGAACGATTGAACAGAGGTACACCATCAAGTTTTGTGTTGGACTGGGGAAATCTAGTACAGAGACGTTGGGCATGTTTCGCCAAGTGTTCAAGGATGAAAGCATGTCACAAACTGCAGCTTTTAAGTGGCACAAGCTCTTCAAAAGTGGCCGACAGAGTGTGGAGGATGAGCCTCGCGGTGGACGGCCGTCGACGCCAAGAACCGACGACAACGTGCAATGTGTCCGTGACGTACTCAATTCAGTGCGCATGATTGCAGATCGTGTTGGCATTGATAAGATGACGGTGCACACCATTATCACTGAAGATTTGGCGATGCGAAAGGTCTGCGCGAAACTCGTCCTGAAGGTCTTGACGGACGACCAAAAGCAGAGACGAGTGGCTGCTTGCGAAGACCTGCAACGCGTTGAGGAAGACCCCAACCCCCCTACAGTCCCAACTTGACAACAGCAGACTTTTTCCTGTTCTCGAAAGTGAAATCCTCCCTCAAAGGGCACCACCATGGGACCCTGAGTGCCGTCAAAGAGGCTTGCACGCGGACCATTAAGGACCTTCTGGAATCCGCCTACCAGGGAGCCTTCGTGTCGTGGCAACGCCGTTGGCAAAAGTGTATCGATGCACAAGGGAGGTATTTTGAAGAATTTTGAGACTTGTAGCAATATCTGAAATCTATTTTCCCGGAACTTTTCC